TACAGTCCACGGGGTCGCAAAGAGTCGGACACGACTAAGTGACTTCACTTCACTTCAATTACTTAGAAGTCTGTCTTTATATTGAACAGAAATCTGCCACACAATATAACTTGCTTTGCCACATAGAACTTAGCTTTGGAGTCTTTTTGATATTTGAAGAGGAATATTCAACTCTTTTAAAATATTTTCCTTTCTAAGCTATAGGGTCACCAGTCCATTCAGTTCTTCCTAAATGACACTTCCATTATCTCTAGGTTGCCATAACTTGGATCACTTCCAAATTTACAGGATTTATCTGGCCTTTTTGTTTTTTTCTATCTCTAGCATTAGTTCCAGGAATATATATAAAAATACAGTGCAGAATTTCTTATTTTAAATCTATAAATTTAGATTTCTATTGAATCTATAGAAATTATTTAAACTTAATAACTAATAACTAATCAGTAGTAACAAAATTCTCCTCCTCGTGGTTTCAAGGCTTTCAGAATGGCTGAAGTGCCTTGAACACATTTATGGAAGCTCGTTTTACTCACTTTTTGGGTTCACCCCCTTTTCTTGGGTGTGGGACCAAGGCTTGTCCCTTAGATATTTCTGATTGTGGTGTTGACTAACTAGTTGGTTCCTAAACTGTAATTATCTTCCTCCTTCAATTAAAATTACATTTCTATATTACAAAATGGGCTATTGCAAAATCTAACAATGCACATTGGATTTTTATTTCCCTCTAAGCAACTTTTCCTGACAATACGTATTTTTTCTCTGGGTTGTTCAACTGTTAAGTGCTGAGGAGGACGTTCTTCTTAACAAAGATCAGTCAGTGGGCACTTTGCAGTATTGTTTTTTTTTTTTTTGTTTTCCTGTGTCCTCACTTGCTGTTGTGTAGTAATTCAAATACACAATTATTTCCAGCTTAGAGAATTTTGAGAGACTCATGAACTAGAGCCATACTGATGTGACAGCATAATTGGTGCCAATGAGACATTCAGTCATCATATGCTTTTATTTTAAAATGTGCCAAGTGATGGACTTGATTAATAGTTTATGCAAGATATTAATTCCCCAACCAGGGATCAAACCCTATGTCCTCTGCAATAGAAGCACAGAGTCCTAACCACTGGACCACCAGGGAATTCTCCCTTGATGAATAGTTTTAGTTGAAATTTATCCAATACTTTCCCCCAAATTTTTTAATATTTTGACATTGTGTAAACTGAGTATGATGTTTCTAAGCATCACTTCAACCAACATGTATTTGGCATACCTACATTTTGCCAGACCCTGCCTCAGTGCTGGGTATTTATTTCTAGATGACCAACAATACATGGTCCTGCCTTTGAAGAGGAATCAGACACACACAGTCAGTCAGTCAGTTCAGTCACTCAGTCTTGTCTGACTCTTTGCCACCCCATGAACTGCAGCACGCCGGGCCTCCGTGTCCATCACCAACTCCTGGAGTCTACCCAAACTCATGTCCATCGAGTCGGTGATGCCATCCAACCATCTCATCCTCTGTCGTCCCCTTCTCCTCCTGCCCTCAATCCCTCCTAGCATCAGGGTCTTTTCCAATGAGTCAGTTCTTCGTATTATGTGGCCGAAGCATTGGAGCTTCAGCTTCAGCATCAGTCCTTCCAATGAACACTCAGGACTGATTTCCTTTGGATGGACTGGTTTATTTCCTTGCTGTCCAAGGGACTCTCAAGAGTCTTCTCCAGCGCCACAGTTCAAAAGCATCAGTTCTTCGGTGCTCAGCCTTCTTCATGGTCCAACTCTCATGTCCGTACATGACCTCCACGACTGTGAAATGACAAATCCGTGTGGTTTCAAGCCACGAGGCGCTGTGCCTGTGGGTCCTTGAATATGAGTGAGTGGGTCCCGTTGGTTCAGGCAGGCGTGCGCTGGGCTGGTGCTGGGAGATGACGGCTTGTCCTCAGGGAGACATAGGTGGAAGGGGATGGGGACGTGGCAGCAGCACCCCCACACCACCTGCCCCGGGATCTGGGTGGGGGGAGGGCTCCAGGAGACACAGCCAGGAGGAGAGGACGACCTTCACGCCAGCAGTGATGTCTGAGGCCGAGCAGTCAGACGTGGCACCCAGGGGCTCCTGCACTGTCAGCACTCTCTGGGCTTAATGTGTCTGCACACAAGCACGTGCACACACACACACACACAGGAACACACACAAGCATGTGTACACACACGGGCACACAGTCATACACACGCACACACACTCATACGCACGTGCACACAAGCACGTGCACACACACAGGCACGTGCACACACACAGGCACACACAAACATGCATAAACACACACGGGCACAAACACATGTACACATGTGCGTGCACACATGCATACACAAGCATGTGTACACACACGGGCACAAACACACATACACACACACATCTTTCCTGACTAGAGTAGGAGCCGCAGCCACTACAAGACAAAACTAAAAATGCTTACAAGGCAACCACGATCTTTTCCCCACAAAAATGGAAAATGAGTGGACTCAGACCTAACTTCCTGCTGCGGTTTCTCCCGCGTGGATTTCAAGTGACAGGCCCTGGATCCCAGGCTGTCACGTCTCCACGAGGGCAACTCCAGCAGGAGGCACCGAGGCCCCACGTGCGCTCTGCTCGGCTCCACGTGGGGGGACGCACTCCGGGGCGGCTGCCCCACGGGACTAGAAGGATGTGCTTTGTAGGCAGGGTGATAAGCTGGTGGGTCTCGCTACACTGAAGTCTGGGGAAGAGAGGGCTGTCACAGACCGGTGCTGAGTGGACAGGAGCGCTGGGCCCCGAAAGGCCTGCGCGCGTCCAGAGAGACCCCCAGCCGCCCCTCCGGCAGAGACAGGCAGCGGCACGGAGCCAAAGCTGCCATGCAGCTAAACATTCACGGGTAGAGGAATTCTGGTTTTGGACTTAAACTTGCCAGGGTTAGCCCTTAAAAGACTTGATTTCTCTCCGGCACTTGGGTGACAGAGGAGATTCACACTTGAATTCGGGACACGCTGCGTAGCTGGAAGCTTCCACGCTGTCATCTCACCTCACGGCAGCATTTCCGATGAGCCGGCGGAAGCAGTCAGGCTGGACGTATTTAAGGATGAGAAATAACCTAAGAGTGGTTCTGCAGTCTCAGGTAGAGGCCTTACAGATTACTGGATTACTGTTCAGGTCTGACGAGCTCCAAAGCCGTCAGGACCAGNGATGGCATCACCGACCTGATAGACATGAGTTTGAGTAAACTCAGGAGTTGGTGACGGACAGGGAGGCCTGGTGTGCTGCAATTCATGGGGTCGCAAAGAGTCGGACACGACTGAGCGACTGAACTGACTGACTGACTTCCATAATGTCCAATAAATGTTAGTTTGATTGAGAGAAAAGTCTATTTTAGGTAGAACACCTTGCTTAACTAAGGGAGAACAAGTTCTGTTTTGGTTTTGATTGCCAGGAGTTTTAAAATTTTAGACTTTTATTTTTTTCATGGAAAACTAGTCTTCTATAAGTTTCTTCAAGAGAATTCAGTTTTAGTTTGTATCCATAGTTTGTGGATTTCCTATGTACAGATCACAGTCTCATGATTACTAAGGTGTTTCTGAGGTTGCTTCTACATATGAATGTTAATGGATACATATTTTTTTTTCTTTTAAAGACTTCATAGAAATCAAGTAACTCTATTTTGTGAACACAACTCCTAGTGCTCTTTAGACAGATGGGAAAAAGTCCTCAGATTAGTTTGCTTAAAAAGTCATGAATTAAAAGACTGCTCATTGAAACTGAAGGCAACTTTCTACTGAGTCATCAGAAGCAATGTATTGAGCAATATGATCTGTATCAATATGTCTTATGAAATTGCCAAGTTAGGAGTTGTATATTTTAGATAAAAAGTTTATGTCTCCACTGAGTGTCAAGTATCTTTAAAGTTTTCTGAAAATATTAATAGAATCCAATCAATTTCTCAGTAAAAGGCAAATGACATTAAAAAAATTTTTAATGTGACTTTTTATTCTGAGACTTTACTTGGGTTCCCAGAGACTATGAGAAGAGCTTTCCTTGTTCTGATAATTATCACTTTAGCTCTGGAGTTTATGGCGGGTGGATTATGATTCCCTTTAGGGGACTGATGCAAGCAATTTCTTAATGGTGTTTTGGCCCCTGACAACATGATTCCTTTAAGGAGAGTTCAATAAGTGGGATTTATATCCATGTGACTCATGCATTTAAAAAAATAAAGTAACCAAAATCGATAGATTCAAATTAAATATATTCAGAGCATCCTCTTAATGCCACCTATGTAATGGCAACAACTTATTCTCTGTGCATTGATGATCCTATGTTTGCATTTTGTAAGTGTTGTATATTTATTCTGTATTTTGCAATCTGTTGTATGTGTGCAAAGCATTGCATTTACACAGGATTTTTCTAAAAGTTATTCTATGCTTGTCAGAAAAACAACAACAACAAAACAAACAGACGACTAAGATTATGAATGATAATCCCCAGGAGCCCTGAGTTTTCCTCAGCCTGTATTTATGCTCTGTATTTACTTGTTGAATGAATGAATGAATAAAGTGATGGATTCAGGAGACATGGAACTTGACCCAGTGGAAAAGCTGCAGTTGAAGGATTTTTAGACCAATGGTGATGGTGGGATAACTTTACTTGAATTATTTAGCTAAAGTTCCATTTGAGATGCAAAAGTTTGTTAAAATAGTGCTTTCCTATTTGGTGATTTTTCTTACCAAAACAAACATAAATTAAGTGACCCCAAACATCCTAAATGGAGATAAATTATAATGATGCTATAAGATGTCAGGATATATGTGTATCTAGCAAATGTCTTGTGATGCATATTACCCGTTTTGGGGATGGAATTTTGCATGATTTAAATTTTCAGTGTCCCATTGGTTGGAAAGTGCAGCTAATCAAGAAATCATTGTGGAACCTGTTGCTCGAGCTGTGTATCATGGGAGTTACAATATTGTATTTTCCTTTAACTCCTCAGATCATCTTCTATTTGCTGTGTATCCTGGAGGTGACAGATAATGCTGATAATGATGACTAAATGTTCACTGGCTTCTCCCTACTGAGACCTACCTTCCCCTAGAGCTGTTCTCATCTTCCCACTGGTTAACATTCAGGTATCCTTGCTCATTCCAACTCTACAAGCTGTAAAAACACCTGGCAGAGTCACGTAGGAGAGGGAGAGATTCCATTGCAGGCTTCAGTGGGGAACTGAGTCAAATTCTCCCACCTTCATGTCACCCCTTGGAGGACTTTTCCTTCCCTTCAGCCTCTGACTCATGGAACAGGAAAACCAAACTTTATTGTTCTGCTTTATCTCTAACACCACTGTCCAATGAACTCTGTATTAGTATGGATCTAAATCTGTGCTTTTTGTTTCAGGATTATCTCTTGATTAGATGCTGATTGTATATGTTTGTTTTTTAAATAATGATGAAAATTTATCTTAAGCCTACTCAGTCATTTATTAGGTAAGATAGAGAAGTTAGACATCAAAATTGCTGTATTCAGAACCAGCACATAAGACTGTTTAAAATGAGTGTTGGATAAAAATAACTTAAAGTACCTTGGAGTTACTTTTACATAATGAAACATGTAATATAAAATGTAATTAGATATTTAAGAGTATTTGGGTACATGAGACAAGAGTATCATAGTTTTAAAATATGCCCTCAAAATATCTGTTTAACTTATCAAACCCATAAAATGAATGAGGAGGTGTCATATCTTCTAGGAAGAGTTAACTAAGTCTCTCACACTTTAAAAAAATAATCAGCATGTACCACATGTGGAGCAATGTCGCTTCTGCCAATTAAAAATGGTGATGACTCACTTTATTCCATTTATGCCTATGCAGCAAAGAAAAATAATGTGTGAAACCTTATCATGCATTTACCTTTAGCTCATAAAAACTGAGATTATTGTCACTAGGTTATGTAAAGACTTACCTATAATTGGTGCTAAATAAATATTTATTGAATGAATACACAAATGAATACAGGATGCCTCATTTAAACATTTAGTTTAAATGTTATTAAACTGAACATTTTAAAAAATAAATATTATACTTCAACTGGTTGTGTGTGTGTGTGTGTTCAGTCGCTCAGTCGTGTCTGACCCTTTGCAGCCTCATGGACTGTAGTCAGGCTCTTCCATCCATGGAATTCTCCAGCCAAGAATACTGGAGCAGGTTACCTTTCCCTACTGCAAGAGATCTTCCTGACCCAGGGATCCAACCCGCGTCTCTTGTGTCTCCTGCGTTAGCAAGCAGGTTAAGCAACCTTAAGCAATTTTTAAAAATTGCATGATATTTTCAAGTAAATGAAATATTTCAAAATGGATATACTTTCCTCAGCAGAAACTTCATGTATATGTAATTTTAGGAAGTGGTTTACAAGAGGATAACTAAAATGAATATATTCTGACCAGTCAAGTTCATAATACCCTGTGTTTACAGTGTTTTTCCTGAGAATTCCAAATGCTAGGCTAATGTGATTATACGTGCTATTCTTTTTGTCTTTTCTAGAAGGTGAATCATCTCAAGTTGAGTAACTTGTTCTGAGTAAAATAATGACTCACTGAATGAAGCCTGAAATACCATCCAGCTTCTGGTAGATCCCCATACCTCTCTGTGGACTATTTTATTTACAAGTCTCCTTCTAAAGTCTGTTTCCATGATTTTGAAAAAATTGCATTTCTTTAAGAATATATGCATTGTGAAACATAAGCAATAGCATCTTTCAGCAACTGAAAATTCACAGGTAATTGAATTTGAAGGAAGATCAGAGTGTAGAAATGGAAGATCAGAGTGTAAAAAGGCTGGTGGCCCTATGTTTGTATTCTATAGAGTTTAAATATTTACTCTGAAATTTGCATCTATGGTATATGTGTAAAGCATTGCATTTACTCAGGGTTTTCTAAAAGTTATACCATGCATGTTAAAGGAAAAAAAAAACCTGAAAATTGTGACAATCCCCTGGAGTCCTAAGGTTTTCTTCAGCCTCTCTTCTATGTCCTCTACATGTAGAACCCTTCCGTTCAATCTGAGCAGTGATGTTAAAATCAGTGTCTTACGATTCTGACATGATTTGCGGCTTACAATGCTCTTTCACAGAAATTGGTCTTTTTGATGCTCACAACAGCTTGTGATGTAGGGAGGATAAATATTATTACACCAATATGTCCTGTTAGAAAATTTGACCTTTTAGCAATCAGCTAAGGAGAAATACTTCAGGTGAAAAAGAAAATTGCACATTTCTTTTTTGAGATTGAAATTGGGAGTTAGCATGAAGAGAAGGAAAAGAATGAATAAGCCTCGTGGTCTGAAAGAAAATCTGTAAATTAATTTCTTTAGTTACAGAGTGACTTTGTTTCTTCTTTCTGTGATCACAACAGTTACCATTTAGTCAATGCTTATTCTGTGAAATGAGAATTAACTCACTGAATCCTCGTAACAGTCATGGTACTTAATAGTGCCTTGATTTTTACAGACCAAAGAACTGAAGATTAGGAGGGTGAATAGGACCACTGAAAAGTAGGAGAGCTGGAGCACAAACCCAGGCGTCACCTTCTGCGTCTGTGTTCTTAATGACTGTACTCAGTGGTGAGCAGGTTTAAGCCAGCTCTCCAGCAGAACACATAAGTAGAGCCCAAGGCCCATAGTGTAGATATTCCCATTATGACCAATTTCAGGTTGTTGCTGTTTAGTCGCTAAGTCATGTCTGACTCTTTTTCAAACCCATGGACTCTAGCCTGTGAGGCTCCTCTGTTCATGGGATTTCCCAGGCAAGAATACTGGAATGGGTTGCCATTTCCTTCTGAAGGAAGGGGATCTTCCTGACCCAGGAATTGAATCCAATGGTTTAATAACCAGCTTGTGAAATTGCTGAATATTTATTGATCAGCACGTAAGAGCAGGTACAAGCCTGCCCTAGTACATCATCGATTATCCTACATGGTGCTTTCAACACAGCATTGTCATGAAGACAGACTATTTAATTACTACTGTTTAAACATCAGCTTTGAAATATGATTTACATACAATAAAATGTACCCATTTTATGTGTACTGTTCGAAGATTTTTGACAAATAGATATACCATCTTCATAATCAAGATACAGAACATTTCCATTAGTCTTAAATGTTCTCTTGTGACCCTTCCTAGTTAACCAGTTAATCTTCACTCCACCACCCATTTCAGCCCTGGCAACCACTGATCTGTTTTTTTTTTTTTTTTTTGCCACACAGTATGAAGGATCTTACTTCCCTGACTGACCAGGGATGGAAACCGTGCCCCCTGCAGTGGAAACATGGAGACTTAACCAGTAAACCACCACCACAGATCTGTTCTATGTCACTGTAGATTAGTTATTTTTCCCCCTAGAATTTCATATAAATGGAATCATATGGTATGTATTGTGTCTAGCTTCTTTTGTTCAGTATGGCAGTCTTAAAATTCAGCTATGGTGTTTTTGTGTCCGTTTGTATCTATGGGTAAGTTGTATTCTATTGTATGTATGTACCATAATTTATGCATTCACCAGATGATTATTTTTCAACTGTGAATTCTGATCATAAAAAGTCCTTTTATAAATATGTTGCTGAATGTTGCAGCCATAGCTTTTATTAAAAATAGTGATGGAGAGAATATATTTAATAATGGTTTTTAGTTTGATGTTGAATTTATGATACTAATATTAAGCAATGGTATTTTAATCTTAGATCCAGTACCAAGATTTAAGAAACATTTACTACCTCATTAGAAAGTCTTTTACTTAAGTATATGAATATAGGTTTTAATTTGATGTTTGGATATATTTTTAAAAGACTGAGTAGTTCAGACTGGCTCTTTGGTTCTCTACCCTGTAAATAATGACTAGCTTTCCTTTTTTACTCTATGCCTTATAGAATTTGCCTCCTTACTGGTAGACTTTTTGAAAACTAATACCACTTATTTAAATAAGAAAGCTTTAATTTATTAAGTTGATAATTTTAAACAGACTTAATTTTTTCCTTCTCTTCTCTCTCTCTTTCTTAAGCAAACAAATTCCAAACCCATTTTGTAGTATTCAACATATCTCAGTCAGTCAGTTCAGTCACTCAGTTGTGTCCAACTCTTTGAAACCTCATGGACTGCAGCACAGTAGGCTTCCCTGTCCATCACCAACTCCTGGAGCTTGCTCAAACTCATGTTTATTGAGTCGGTGGTGCCATCCAACCATCTCATCCTCTGTCCCCTTTTCCTCCTGCCTTCAGTCTTTCCCAGCATCAGGGTCGTTTCCAGTGAGTCAGTTTTTCGCATCAGGTGGCCAAAGTATTGGAGTTTCAGCTTCAGCATCAGTCCCTCCAATGAATATTCAGGACTGATTTCCTTTAGGGTTGACTGATTTGATCTCCTTGCAGTCCAAATGACTCTCAAGAGTCTTTTCCAATACCACAGTTCAAAAGCATCAATTCTTCAGCACTCAGCTTTCTTTATGGTCCAACTCTCACATCCATACGTGACTACTGGAAAAACCATAGCTTTGACTAGATGGACCTTTGTCAGCAAACTAATGTCTCTACTTTTTAATATGCTGTCTAGGTTGGTAATAGCTTTTCTTCCAAGGAGTGAGTGTCTTTTAATTTCAAGACTGCAGTCACCATCAGCAGTAATTTTGGAGCCCCCAAAAATAAAGTCTGTCACTGTTTCCCCATCTATTTGCCATGAAGTGATGGGACTGGATGCCATGATCTTAGCTTTTTGAATGTTGTTTTAAGCTAACTTTTTCACTCTCCTCTTTCATCCTCATCAGGAGGTTCTTCAGTTCCTCTTGCTTTCTGCCACAAGGGTGGTGTCATCTGCATATCTGAGGTTATTGATATTTCTCCTGGAAATCTTGATTCCAGCTTGTGCTTCACCCAGCCTGGCATTTCTCATGGTGTACTCTGCATATAAGTTAAATAAGCAGGGTGACAATATACAGCCTTGATGTATTTCTTTCCCAATTTGGAACTGGTCCATTGTTCCATGTCTGGTTCTAACTGTTGCTTCTTGACCTGCATACAGATTTCTCAGGAGGCGAGTAAGGTGGTCTGGTATTCCCATCTCTTTAAGAATTTTCCCCAGTTTGTTGTGATCCACACAGTCAAAGGCTTTGGTGTAGTCAATAAAGTAGAAGTAGATGTTTTTCTGGAACTCTCTTGCTTTTTCAATGATCCAACGGATGTTGGCAATTTGATCTCTGGTTCCGCTGTCTTTCCTAAATCCAGACTGAACATCTGGAAGTTCTCGGTTCACATACTGTTGAAAACTTGTTTGGAGAATTTTGAGCATTACTTTGCTAGTGTGTGACATATCACATATCTCAAGTGGCTTAAAAAGCAAGATCAATTTTTTAAAATCTCATATCCTGAGATTCCAGTAGGTGGCACTCTTATAAAGCCTAAAGACTTCTGTTTTGGCAATCCATGGTTGTTTTCTAGATGTTCTCTTTCTACTCTCACCTACTTGCAAACCCATTTGTTCTGGATAACTTAAATTCATTTCCCTCTAATTATCAGGGTTATGCATACTGTTAAGCATTTAAAAATGTTCAAAAGAAGAAATATTCTTCAAACCCCTTGATTAATTTCCAAGAGATAACTACTCCAAAAATTTAGTATGTACAATATTTTCCAGACTCTTCTCTAACCCCCACACACAATAAGTGTATATAAAAGTTAAAATTTATATTAGTAAAAGTTTAGATTTTAAAATAATCATAATGATATGCTTGCCTTTGTTTTCTGATCCTATACCTGGGGTTTTTTCTTATGAGTAGTTTCCCTTTAAGAAAGACCTCTCATTCCTGCAATTGCTGAGTCCCGAAGGACCATTCCTGTTGGTGTTGAACTAGGGCATGTGGTGCAGTGAATGATGCCTGGACTTTCATGATAAGGATTCTGTGCTAATTGCATTTCTTGGCAGTGAGAGTGGAGTAAGGAGAATTTAAATAATAAGAAACCTAAAGCTTCCTTTGCCAGTTGAAGACTATAGAATATTCTAAGATTTTATCTGAGTAGGATTGTGATTTTTGAACTTGCTGGCTGTTCCAGGAGATGTTCACTGTTGGTGTGTTAGTGGGAAACTTTGTGAAATCACTGATTTTTTTTTTTTTTTAAGGTAGATTCTGTGCCCCACCCCCCCACCATAGTTTATAATCTTAAGGGCAGCTAATTTCCCCCAGAATGAGCAATCCAAGAGACCAAGTCAGACAAAATTGCTTTTGTGACCTAACCTTAAGAGTTATACACTGTCACTTCTTCAGTAGGTCTGCTGTAATCATTGTGGGAGGGGACAATGCTCAGAGGCCTGTGTACTAGGAGGTGAGGCTCCCTGGGGCCACCTCGGAGGAACCACTAGGAACCACATAGGTGGTTACCTTATCTGTTTACTTCACTGAGGTATAATTGATATCTAACATTATATTAACAGTTTTAGGTATACAATGTAATGATTTAATACTTGTATGTAGATTGGGAAATAGCGACTGTGATGAGTCTAGTTAACATCCATCCACAGATGGTTACTTTAAAGCCATGAGATTAGATGAGGTCACCTAGGGAGTAAGAGTAGAGAGAGAAGATAGCAGGATTAAGTCAACATTCGGAGGTCACAAAGAAGAGTCAGAGAAAAAGCCTCCAGGGAGTCGATGCCTTTGGGAGCTCAGTGGAGAAAGTGTTTCCAAAAGAAGAGAAGGCTGAGAAACTAAGATAATAGCTAAGAAATGATCACCAGATTTATACTTGTGCAAAACCCGTTTCTCCTTGGAGTCTCACACAATTCAGATGTAGTTGTAAGGAAAACAGGTATTGTTTAAAATGGTAACTACTTGCAGCCACTTTTGAGTACCAGAAAGTAGCCTCATGTATTACTTGTGGGTGATAGAGCTTGTGCAGGAAAGATCTTGATAATCTCTTTGGGTCTGAACAGAACCTCCTAGAGTTAGTTCTGGAAGGTGAGGGCTGGAGAGTTGAGTTGCCATCCATAATAAAGGAAGAAGAATGGAGTATCCAAGACCACTAGCGAATTTGAAAGAAAGTGTGACTCCAGAAAGCTGCATATGAAGTGTGTCAGCTGAGAATGACAAAGTAACTCACCTTCTGTGGGCTTTTGCACCCACACTGGAATTCCTTCAGGCTCGTATGACCCTCTTCTCTCCATTCTGCTCCTCTGACACTCCTTGCTCATCAGTTACCCTGGTTTCTCCATAGGATTTTGGTTACACACAAAAAGCAATCATAGGCCAAAAATACCGAGTACTTGCTAGGTTCCAGGGACTGTTCCTACTGTTTTATGTACTCTACCTCATTTAATTTTCACAAAGCCACTCCCCTATAGGAATAGGAAACTGAGGCATACAAGAGGTTAAATTACGTGCTGTTAAGTATTAAGGTCAGAATTTGAACTCAGTCTGGCTTCAGAGATTTGGCTCTTAATCAGTAAATCTTGCTCGTGTTTTCCTTTTAGGGTTTTGGATTTGGCAACTCAGACTGAACCAGTCTGAATCACCATCTACTCAGGCTTAGACTTTGGCCACCTTCTGCCCCAGCCAAGAACATGACATCTGTTATTGACTCGTGGGTCTGACCCACCCCAGTAGAAACCCCACCCTGGGCCTTGCTGGTGCCAGATAGGAGAAAGGCCATCAAAGCAATGTGTGTTCATGCCCCTGTGTCCTTTCATACATGCTTCCTCTGTTCCCATTCTCCCTTCTCTGCCTGGTTGGTTTCTGTATGAAGTATTTGCTTGAGTCGTCACAAATTTTTCTTTCTCCTTCAAGTTGTTCTTTGATCTTCTATCCACCCTGTCTTAGCCTATCACCATTCCTGGTAGATGTCTATCTCTGCCCTCAATCTCAATTGTGAACTTCTCCAGGCAAGGACTATACCTCTGAGTCTCCAGTCTGGCACACTATGAGGGTTCAATAAGAGTTTCTTGACTGAATGAAAGAAGGTGCTAGAAAATGAACAGGACAAATGTTATACCCTGCAGTGAAAAATACATTTTTTTTTTTTTTTTGTAAACTTGATGGGCTGATGTAAAAAGGAAAGAACTATAAGAATCTTTTTTGTTGTTGTTAATTATTCTAATTAAGTGCTCCTTTTATTTTTTTGATGTGGACCATTTTTAAAGTCTATTGAATTTGTTACATTATTGCTTTTGTCGTTTATGTTCTGGATTTTTGGCTATGAGACATGAGGGATCTTAGCTCCTGACCGGGGATCAAACCTGCACCCCCTGCCTTGGAAGGTAAAGTCCCAACCACTGGACTCCCAGGGAAGTCCCAAGAATCTTCTTAACTTAATCTCCAGCCTCACCGTCTTTATCGACTTCAGTAGTATTTCACAAACCTCTCTCTACACCCTTGACTCTATTGTTGGCATCAAGAAGGTACACATTTCACATTATTACCATTCACCTTTTATTAAAATTAACTTTATTAAAACAATACTACTCGATTAAGGTCCTGTGATTAAACATATGTTCTAGGTCACTAGAAGAAAGTTTATTAAAGGACTACCTCAGGTCCACAAAGATGTGAGGCGATTTTGATTTGTTATCAAGACCCACATTTCCACAATGATTTGTAATTAAATTTTGTTTTGAAGGCCAAAAAAACAAAAAAAAACAAAAAAAAACAGACTCAAAGTGAATAGGGAATACAAAGAAAATGAAACAAACAGAAGCAGAGATTGAACTAATACATCATCTTACTCTAAAAGGAATAATTTCTATAAATTTCTTGTTCCTAAGGAACTAATCATGGGGCAGATCTTGTGAAATTTTACATCAGTTCTTCAATTTCCTGAACTTGGGATGAGACCACCTCACCATTCACCACTTCCTGCACAATTGTCTTGATTTTCCGGGCTTTGTTAGGGTCTAAAGATAAAAACGGAACAAAGGGAGCAAAAGTTAGTGCTTCAAATATTCATCTAACATTTGCTGTTTAACTTAGGCTTCTAAATTAGGTATTGACTGATACAGTCCATGAAATTTAAACTTTCAGGTGTGACCTTTGCATTTCTAAACAAAATGCATTTTATTTAATAAAATGTATTCAGTGTTGTCTTGTGCACAAATGAAAATGGTTTTCTTTTTAAACACTTAAAAAGTGTTTATGATTCTCATAATACCCCTTTGTAGAGTAGATTTCCTTATCCTTCCTGAACTTGCTGAAAGTTTTAACCCTGTGCAGACTACTCAATTTATCTGCAGGAATGCATAAATATTTTTTTCTTGGCTCCAAATACAAATATACTTTAAATATACACTGCTATATTTAATGAGATCTTACAGTTTTGGTCATTAATAGATGTTATTCTGACTTGTTCTACATGATTCCTAGGGAATCTGCATACCTTTAGAGGAATCAGTTGATGGTGCTTGAGATGTGGAGGCTGTCACATATGAACTTTCCACCAAACAGTCACTGTAAAGAAAACAAGGGAGTTGATATCACATGATGCTTTCTGGAATGAGAAGGAAGAAGGAGTTTTCTGTTTGAGCTTTTAAAATGGCCAATGAGAGAAGGTATTCTAAATTTCTTGATTAAGAATGATGGAGTGATGCATCCTGAGAGTAATCAGTTGTGTAGCTACCTTTGTTTTCAAACACTGCCTAAAAAGGGCTCTTGAAGTGAAGCCAACTGACAATTAGTGGAAAATGTGGTTTTCCAATTTACGAGCCTGGATTCTTCCCACCAGTCCAGGCTGCTGTTACTTTTGGAAAGTTCCCTAGGGTAGTTTCAAGGTGGTTGCATGGCTGATATTTGATGTGTCATTCTTAGCATTAAAATCAGAACTCTACTGACTGATTGTTCTAATACACGTCTGCAGTATGCCTCTGTCTGTGTGGTGCCATTTTTCATCCCAGCATTTTATGAACTTTTATCAAGGAAGATAATGGTGACAACACTTTGCAAAGTGTAGAGCCTTTAATAAAGCTAAGGCATATTAGACATGTCCGACTCTTTCGCGCCGGATTCTTTGCGACCCCATGGACTGTAGCACACCAGGCTCCTCTGTCTATGGGATTTCCCAAGCAAGAATACTGGAGTAGATTGCCATTTCCTCCTCCAGGGGATCTTCCCCACTCAGGAATAGAACCTGCATTGAAGGCGATTCTTTACCGCGGAGCCACCTAGGAACTCCTATGTCTTTACCAGATGTGTTCTTTTCTGTCAACTAAAGAACCCTTCCCGATTCTGTTGCCCTTAAACTGCATCTGGTGTCCACTGTCGGTCAGCCATTGAGGTTATTTTCAGCCCCAGTTATCTATTTACCCTTGGGCCTCGCCGTCCAGCAGGCGGCGGTAGGTCTCGATTTCCAGCTCCAGGCGGGCCTTGACGTTCAGCAGCCGCTGGTAGTCGGCGCTCTGGCGCTCGGCGTCGGCGCGCACCTGCAGCAGCTGCTCCTCCAGGCTGCCGATGAGCTGCTGCACCTGGGACAGCTGGCCGCAGTAGTCGCCCTCGGTTTCAGCCAGCGAGTCCTCCAGGGATTTCTTCTGCACGTGGGAGAGAAACGGCACAGACGTAACAATGGAGGGGACCTAAATGCGGAAGGCTGCCAATGGTCCATCTTACTCATTTGAAGGCATCTCTTGGCACGCGCCCTACCATGGCGAGCTGGGACTGGAGCTCGATTTCCAGGTTTTGAAGCGCGCGCCGCAGGTCGGTGACCTCGCTCTTGCTGGACTGAAGCTGTTCCGTGTTGCTGCTGATCTCCTTCCTGAGCTCCCCGCTCTGCCGCAACAAAGAGGGGTGAGGGGACGTGAGTCAGCCCCGCTCTCCTTTAATACAAGCGTATCCACGCCTTTTGTTTTTGTTAGCAGTACCTTTTCAATGAACCAGGCCTCCGCATCCTTCCGGTTCTGCTCAGCGATGGTTTCATACTGTGCCCGCATGTCGTTGAGGAGCCTGGTGAGGTCCACTCCGGGGGCAGCGTCCATTTCTACGCTGACCTGGCCTGGGCCGCCGGCCCGGCAGCTTTGGAGCTCCTGGGGACAGCGGGTGAGAGGGGTGAAGGGGCCCACTGTGACTTTCGTGGGCCTCTTCATCCACCAAAAATAGGAAACATTACCTTTTACGACTGCGTTGGTTTAAACACAAACCAGTTAATACAAACTATTCAAACATCTTTTATCTAAACATTAGTAGTTTTCTTCTGATTTTTGAAAGAGCTTGAGATGGGTTCCTAAACTCACTGGGGGTCCTTGGCGCTGTGCCTGCCATGCCTGATGGATGAGCTGGCCCTGCTTCTTGGGGCTCCATGGCCTTCACAAGATGGGAAGGCCTGGTGGAATTGGTGTCCCAGGGGCTTTCAACCGAGGGCTGCAGACAGTCCCTGGGTTTGCTCACCGGTTGTACCATAGTCATTGGTTTACAGTAGAAAGCTCTTTAGGAGTCTTGTGCCAGGGTTGTGCTTAATTACTGATATACATTGTGGTATACCAGAGTTCCGTGTGTGTACTACACTGTGTATAACCAGTTTCTCTAGCATATTTAACAGTATGTATTATTGGTAGAATATTTTTTCTTGGAACTTTAAAAATACTGTATTTTTGGAACTTTCTGGGTGGTCCCGGGCTTCCAGGGGCACAGGTTTGATCAAGGAACTGAAATCCCACATGCCACTTGGTGTGATCAAAAACCAACCATCCAAACAAAAACACCCAAACTGTATTTTTAAAATCATGAAATCAGAACAGTTAAAATTCTAATTGTCCAATGTATCATGCATATCTCTTCTAACTCCATATTTATACATCTGAAATGATAATTTTGAACCTGGGAGAAAAAAGCTGCTTAGAGAGCTGCCCTTTCTGGCTCTCACCTCCTCATGGTTCTTCTTCAGGTAGGCCAGCTCCTCATTCAGGGTCTCAATCTGCGTCTCCAGGTCAGCTCTGGCCAGGGTCAGCTCATCCAGCACCCTGCGCAGGCCATTGATGTCAGCCTCCACATTCTGACACAGGGCCAGCTCGTTTTCATATCTGAAAATCAAGTGCAAAACAGTCTAGGGAATCCACACACCCATTTGAATAAGGCCCCTGCCATCTTCAGGGCTACTTTGCAAATAAATCTGGCAGCAGTGTAATGAATGATGTGGTTTTTGCTTTTCTAACTTTTTATTTTCCTTTTTTTTTTTAAATGGTAATTTACTGCTTAGTTGGAGAGAAGTGAAAAAATTATACTTTTCTATCAGCAGTGAACCCCAGCAGCACTGCATCCCAGGCTTACAGCTTCGCTTCTGGCTGGCTGCCCTGGCTATGAAGAGTATCAACCCCTTTCTAGGAGTTTCTGATGGAAGCCTAGAAGTGGCTGAAAATAAAATAATCATTTAGTCATCTTGCTTAACTTTTACTCAAGATTTAATTTAAAACATCGATATTCCTTTAGTAACTTGTACTAGGTTTCAGGCAACATCTTGTGTGGAAATTCTGTGGAGCAAACAGGACCTTAGGATTTTCCTTCTTATATCTGAGGGGAGGGGATGGTGTAGAAAGGAGGAAGGGATATAAAAATAAGTTCATGGTTAATATTTTAGTTGTATGTGTCATCAGGAAAAAGATCATTTTATTTAACTCCCAGGCACAAACATTATTAATTCATTTTGATGCATGGAAGACTGAGGTTTAGGACACTAGTGGAATTATCTTGGCATATCATTAGTCAATAGCAAATGTGAGATATGGTAATCCACAGCCCTGGGTTTAAGCAACTTATAATTAAGGACGTGTAATGTGAACCTATTGAATCTAGATACTTTCTAGAATGCCCAGTGTAAATTTACCAAAACGTGTGTGGAACCTGTGAACTGAGGAAGGTTGAAATATTTGCCATCAACGAAGGAAAATAGAAAGTAAGAAGAAATACTGGGACATGTCAGGTATCATTAGTCGTTTATCCTACTCACTTCATTCTGAAGTCATCAGCAGCCAGTCTTGCATTGTCGATCTGCAAGATAAGCTGGGCATTTGCGATGTTGGCAGAAATGATCTGGCAAAACAAGGTAAGACACACAAAGTGAGGTCATCAAATACTAGTGTTTTGCAAATATATCTTTGGCAGGAAAATTTCAGGTGATGTTAAAGTGCTATTTTATGAAGAGTATAAAGTAGCTTTTTAAAAGAGAATATATGTGGAGAATCTTACTTAAAAATTAAGAAACAAACATACCTATCCCACAGAAAAAGTAGTGGGAATACAGTCATTTTATGGTGAATGATAAAATGAAACTATGGGCTTCCCTGGAAGTTCAGTTGATAAAGAATCCACGTGCAATGCTGGAGACCCCAGTTCGATTCCTGGGTCGGGAAGATCCCCTGGAGAAGGGGTAGACCACCCACTCCAGTATTCGTGAGCTTCCCTGGTGGCTCAGATGGTAAAGAATCACCTGTAGTGCAGGAGACCCGGGTTCGATCCCTGGGTTTGGAAGATCCCCTGGAGGAGGGCATGGCAACCCACTCCAGTATTCTGGCCTGGAGAATGCCCATGGACAGAGGAGCCTGGAGGGCTACAGTTCATGGGGTTGCAAAGAGCTGGGCATGACTGAGTGACTAAGCACAGCCCAAGTATCTTAAGATGAGAATTTATTCCAAATACAGTTGAATGGAAACACATCTAAGTTTTGGGTGATTTGTCACTGTAAAATCTTGAAATAGAAAAAAGGAAAGTACAAAATAATTCCCAAAGCCCCTCGAAAGAAACCATTTTGTTACCTTATTCCTGAGGTCTTCAATCAACGGATAATATTTACTGTAGTCATTCTGTGACCCGGGGTCTCCAGTCCCAGAGCCTCGCGTTTCATACCATTCTCGAATTTTGGTTTCTAGATCAGTGTTAGCCTCCTCTAGAGCCCGAACCTTATCCAGATAGGAAGCCAATCTGTCGTTAAGATTTTTCATGGTTTCCTTTTCTGATCCAGAAATAAGACCTCCATCGATGCCAGAGAGAATCCCTAGAGAGCCCCCTCCCGAGCCTCCTCCGAATCCAATCCCCAGGCCTCCAAAGCCCCCTCCGCCAGCTCCTCCATAACCAGCGCCCAGTCCTCCTGCAAAGGAGCTTCCGCAGAGGCCCCCGACGCCAGCACTGGAACCAAAGCCAGCACTGGAACCAAAGCCAGAGCTAGAACCGAAGCCAGCACTGGAACCGAACATGGACGTGGCAGAGAGGCCTCCCCCAGAGCTGCCTCCGAAGCCAAAGGCACTGCCCCCGTAGCTGCTGCCGATGCTAGAGGCAGACATGCCCCTGGCTCTGCCCGGGGCCCCACTCTGGGAGGACAGCCACTGAGGCAGCCCAGAGGTGCGCACAGAGAGGGCCATGGCGCTGCTGGAAGGACCTACAGCTCAGGAGGGCGCGGTGTCAGCGAGGCAGGAAGGCCAGCCTTTTATAGGTCTCGGAATGGGTGTTGCCTTGGAAAGTTCACTCTCTCCATCCAAAATATAGTGGCCCCCCTTTTTTGGCCAGCTTAGCAAGAAAATGATGTATGCATTTTGACAATTCACTGGTATAGAAATAATTGAATAATTTTTCCATTACATATTTGTGATAGAAGAAATCTGGGTGGAGTGCAGATAGGTTGTCATAAAGAATTTTTCTTCTCCAAATTATTCTGTTGCTCGCATTCTCTGCACTGCGCAGTGTCTTATGCATGGGGTAAAGCACTGAGTGATTGCTGAGTGGGTAAATTATTGAATACTTCTTCCTAAACCTTAGGCTTCTTAAAGTTCTTCCCTCTTATCTCCTATTTGTTTCCTTTTGAAAACTCAGTATGAGCCATCTGATCATGATCTAGTCTATCTTCTAATAGAATATAGTTTCATAAACAGTTGTAAAATTCACTGGGAGAAATGGGGAACAAATGCATTTTCCAGATTGATACTGAAATTTGAGTTTCCAAGGATTTAAAAATCTTGTCATTAGGTTGTTGCATTTTTTTTTCTGATTCAATAAGAAGACCTCTTAAACATTGAAAATACTCTTTATTTTTATTATTTATTTATTTATTTAAAAATCCTTTTACTGCACACCATTGGATCTTAGTTCCTCTTAGTTCCTTGACACTGGAAGCATGAAGTCTTAACCACTGGACCACTAGGGAATTCCCTGAAAAATGCTATTTTTGAGTAGAATATGATACTAGTAATATTGCCAGCAGATCTTCCTTTACATAAAATTTGACCTTAGCAAACTCTGTGAAATCAGGAGCCTTGTCTGACAGTTCACTACTGCCAACTTTGTTAATATATATATATATATATATATATATATATATATATATAACCCAGTTGCTCTTTTTTTTTATTGAAATTGTATCAATGTTAATACATTCAACCCCTGGACCCCCAAATTATCTGGCTCTGACTCCAACCTCTCTGAAGCTAAGGTTCTTCAGTTCTGTGAATACTCCTGTGAACAGCTGGATCTACCTGTGCACACTAGTTGATTTGGGGGCAAATCAGAGGGGTTCCACTTGAAGTCCATGTCAGACCTCTAGAGGGAACACCCAATGTCAGTTCTCACAAATGGAAGGATCTTGTGACCCTCTTTATAATTTCCTAGGGACAGGAATTGATGAACTCCTACTGTATTGTGGTGAAATCCTACTACAACTTCCTTTTACCTTTTTATAGGAGAGACATATGCCAAAGGACATATTTTCTCCCAACCCAGACACATCACAAAGAGCAAGCTAGTGGGATGCCTAAATAAAGGATTTTTTAAGCAAGAAATTTGCAGAAATTGCATGTTCTCCTTCATAACAGATATAGAAAGAATGCAGCAATCCAAAGAAGACTCAGCTTGAAGAGGGGGCCATCATCCAGCCATTTGTTTCATTTCTTGAGAGAATGGAAACGTGTTAAGTTGAAATGTCAGGGGTCCCAGTTTCATACGGAGATTTTTACCAAGAATTCCATTCATATGTTACTAGCACTTTGTTCGAGCTTGTCTTTTTTGAATCATTAGTAGTTATTGTGTACTTATGATGTTCTAGACAGTGGGCAGGTGAACTACAGACATTATTTTTAACCTTCGTGGCAACCACTTAAGATGGTAAATTTTACCCCATTTTATAGATGAGCAGTCTGAGGGTGAGGATGTTAAGTGGCTTATTTAAGGCTACACAGCCAGGAGATGACCAAGACAGGATCTGGGGCTGCAGATAGACAGACAACACAACCCTGCCTCTAACAGTGAAAACAAAAAGGACAGAGGGTCACTCTGACCCCCAAACTGTGAAACTAGGGTTCTGCCCTGCCCACCAACCAGGAGTTTTAGTTCTTTTCCTTTTCAAAATTGAACTTCATTTCTCAGTGTTTAGCATGAGACCCAGTGGTTTACTCTTTAAGGTTTGCAAGAAATGGCATCACAGATGAAATCCTGCAAACCTATAGGCAGATGTGTTTTTACTTGCACTTTTTGAAATGTAACCACATCTCCAGAGATCTTATGAAGTACTAGTTAAGTGAAAGCCCCCCAAGACAGAGTGATTCCATTTTTTGGCCCTGGAAATGAAAGCAAATATTACTTGCTTACAGAGTCAGAAGAAATGTGCCAAATTCTGAGCTATATAACTTAGTGATATCACATAAAATGGAAATATGATTTACTTGAATTTTTGAACTTGGAAACAATTTTGTGCTTAAATGTATACTTTCTAAATCTCATGCCTATATGTAAAATGTAAATAATTTGGTTCAATGTATAACATTGTTTACCCATATACCTTTGTGTTTTTATACATATTATATATTATCCTAGACTGAAATCTTCTCAGGTGAGTTTTATATCTAATTCATTTTTTATCCTGAATCTTAGCCTACTGTTTGCTAAACTTCATTCTTGCATACTTGGAGTTATTGCACTTGAAAGAACTTAATCCTTAATATATTTGAATCTGTCATTTAAAATTTATTTCACTTGAAAAAGACTTTGCTCTAATTTACTGGTATGCTTTGACCAAGATTTATTCTGAATCCAATTGTGAATGGCGAGCAACTTCAGAAGTGGAAAAGGAAAAAAAAAAAAAGAAGTGGAAAAGAGAAATATTTCTTCTTCAGTGGATTTTTTTTGTAGAGGGAGGGAGGGATAAGTTAAATAATTAGGCCTCTATTTTAGAGAATTTTTTTTTCTTGGCTACACAACATAGCATGTGGGGTCAGGGTTTCCTGACCAGGGATCAAACCCACACCCCCTCCATTGGCAATGCAGAGTCTCAACCACTCCCTCAATTCCCATCAGGGAATTTCATATTTTAGAGTTTTTAGAAGTGCAAGTAACTTTTCTGACAGCTGTAAAAATATAGGAAGGTGGAAATGTATAAAATGGGGCTGTTGGCAAAAATGAGGCACAGGGGAAAATGACTACAACCAAGGTGAACTGTTCAAAAGAATTATGTCTCCATTTTTTGGTAGAGTTTAGGGAATATTAAAAATAAGAACTATTATTGACATGACATTTGTAAATCTTTAGATTTTATTCAGTAGAATGTGTGCTCATCTTATGTCAGATTGGTTAGTTTCCTGGTCTTTGACTGCAGAATTTCGTCCTGAGTTCTTTCTCTTAAAGACAGACCTTTCACTTTGTGCAATTCACTGATTACTTGGTCTGTAACAGCTTTTCTTTTTTGGTCCATAACACCTTTTCTTTTTACTTTGAATAAAATTTTATCCTATCAATGAGTGAAAGAATATTGAATTACTGATATAGAATGCTGTGCTTCTGAGATGAGGATGATCAAGAATCCTAGTGGTCATGATTGAGGTTGATTTCTGGATTTTAGAGCTCAGTGGTTCTCAAAAGCAGGGGAGGATTGTACATGGTAAAAAAGAGAAGTAGGAAGATAAAATAATACCCTGGTAAGGTGAATTTTGGAAGTGAGTCTAGGAGATAAAAGGGAAATTAAAAAATAGAAATCACTGAAAGTGAAAGTTGCTCAGTCATGTCCAACTCTTTGTGACCCCATGGACTATACTGTCCATGGAATTCTCTTGGCCAGAAAACTGGAGTGGGTAGCAGTTCCCTTCTCCAGGGGATCTTCCCAACCCAGGGATCGAACCCAGGTTTCCCATGTTGCACGCGGATTCTTCACCGTCTGAGCCAGGAGGGAAGCCCATCCCTTCTCCAGGGGATCCTCCCGATCCAGGAATCAATCCGGGGTCTCTCCTGCATTGCAGGCAAATTCTTTACCAGGGGAGCTACCAGGGAGCCCAATGCCTTAAGTTGGAATTGTTATTTGAGGGTGTAACCAGGTACCTGAGAACACTCCCAAGTGACTGAGAGTGAGAGCAGAGGGTATCTTCAGGTAAAGTTTTGATTTTATATCATTTCATTTTTTTCTTCTTCTTATATGTTGTAAAGACTCTGTGTGGAAATAATTCCGAAAGCCCAGGAAAAAAAAAAAAAAAAACGTTCTCTCCACCCTAACTTCACCTCTAGGGATTCTCTCTGTGTTGGATAGCTTCATGTCTGCACTGACGATTTTGTATAAAGTCACAAAACACATTGATGATAATTCTAATGTGTGATAAAGAGGCCTGTATTTACCGACTACGAACCTGCTCTGGATCTGTATACCTGTCAGAAATAGGATTGTCCTGTTCTGGTTCTTAGCTCCTGTAAGAAGTGTATAGGTAGATACAGAGATTAGTGCTTAGCTTTTGCACAGTTGCTATGGGTAGAACTGGAGGTAGAACCATCTGGTTCCACAAGTATGTATGGTCTCATCTACTTTCTTTGAAAGATTACTTGGGAGAAACTAGAGTTAGACCAAAAGGCAAAGATTGATCTTCATTTTTTATGATAGGAAATTGAGTCAAAAATAATAGTCCCACCTCTTTTTAAACAAAGCATCATTATTGTCATATGACAATGTCCGTGCCTAGTGAATTTCAAAAGCATGTCCTGTAAGTTTTTTTATTAATCAGACTCACAATGTCAGATACTTGTATGTTAGAGCTTCAGACTCTTCTGGAATGTGTCTCAGGACGTGAAAAAGAATTCACTTCTAAATATTCTTAACATCTTTAAAAGTAATTTACTAACTAAAGTGACTTGGAAGGAAATTAAGAAATGAGAAAGAAACGTCTTTACTACTTTGAAAAGTAGTGGATTAGTGGTTTTCAGAGGTTGAGGGGAAGAGGATTGGAGTGATTGCCAAAGGAGCTTCTTTTTGGAGTGATGAAAATGCTCTAAGGTTAGATAGTGGTGATGGCTGCATGACTCTGTGAACATACTAGAGACAGCTGAGTTGCATATTTTAAAATAAGTAATTTTATGGTGTGAATTATACTTCATTAAAACTATTATTAAAAAATAGTGAGAAACATTTCATAACATACAATTACCACATAAAGAAAGAGAGCATCCG